TTCTGTAAAGCCAGATGTATATACCATATAAGAATAACCCGCGAACAGATAGAAGGGATTAGGTCTTAATTCAATCGTTATAGAATCAATTTCTCGTTACATTTTCTGTAATCACCTACTAAACACAGCTGTCAATCAAACGTCCATTATTATATTTACATATTATTTACAACAAATCAATCGGACAACCGTTAATGTCCCGAATGTAACAACAGTGGCGGAGCCTGGATTTCTGGAGCTGGCGAGGTCGAGGAACATATTTTGTACTACAAATCAATCGGACTGCCGAAATATTATTTTATATAAATCGATCAGACATCCGTTAATGTCCCGAATGTCGAGTGGCGGAGCCTGGATTTTTGAAGATGGCGAGGTAGAGAAATATATTTTGTAATTATTGGCAAAGCACAGGCCACGAACTCAAGTTTCATAATGGCGGATCAATTCAAATGAATTTTGTTTGTGCTTTTGTATTGCACAATTCTACATGAAACTAGTGTCGGGTTACCATAAATTTGTTTCTGATGTGGCAGGAAATGATTCCTTTTAGCGATCAAAGAAGAATCGCGGTGAAAAATAGACGGTAGGGATTCCAAAATAGCCTTAGAACCGAGGTGGGGGGGGGGGGAATACTTTATTTTCATATCAGATGTGTGAAGGGAAAGACAGTGACGGATAGAGAGGGCAGAGTCAGTAAGAATCCGTTACTAAAGTACATATAGAAAGCCGACCTTGTCATCACTAGAGAAATAACCATATATAAATGCAAGGGAACAGCTGATACCAATCCAACAATCCCCTGAACATCCGCCCACTGATCGGGACGGGTTACCAGTCGGGGCAAAAGCAGCTCACCGACCGTGAGCCGTGAATATATACTAAGCCTACCCTATTGGATCCCTGCATTGGCCGAGAAAGTTCATCCAGATTTTCCAACGTGGTTTCCCCTTGTCAGCTGTGCAGGACGGAGGGCCTGACAAGGACAGCTGTCTAGTCGTTCGTATGGAACGAAAACCCGATGTCCCGTGTATACATTGACATGCACGTAAAAGATCCCTTGGCAGTTGGAATTCGATATAAGAGTAGGACGTAGCGTATGCCCGTCTTCATTAACCCAGTCAAGGCAGAACATTAGGACGTTAAACCCATTTCATTTCAGGTTAAGTCTTCGAAAGCTTGCGCTGACTTTGCCTGAAGATCGAGTCTAAATTTTGGATATTTGACTTTCACTCGACAAACCACTAATGATTCCGTTACTCTACATCATTCTAGCAAGATGCAGGGCACTGGAATCTGCTGAGGTTTGCCGAGTGATTTGACTTTGTGTCGGTACGACGTCCTTATATCAAAAGAAACGCATTATCCCTATGGAAAAACTTTTACTGACTTCCATCGACGATTTTCAATTAGTTTACTATGTACACAACGTAATCGAATCAAAGAATACTCCAAACTCACGTTTAAGTGCGTCAAATTCCGCCATAGGTCAATCTGATTTTCAAACAATCCCAATTCACAATTTTACAAAATGTTCTTATCTTTACGCCTGTTAGATAACAAACCTCATCTCTCAACCCTCTGTGTTCGAAATAAGAGATGGTCCTATATAGTTCCACGTAGCAAAGCTCAATGCGAATCGCACGGGCATCAGTAAGCAAAATTGACAATATTTTTCATCAAAACAACGATTGATTATTGTTATTTATAATATTTCTGCTACATCCAACTACAATTAAGCATTATAATCCTACCTGAAACAGGTATAAATCATCGTATTTAAAATCGATGCGCGCCATTTTTAAACGGGAGATGTATGACGGTGTATGTCGGATAAAAACAACGCTTCATTAATTTAAACGCGAATATTTGGAGTTAGGCGATAGTTATGCCACTACATTGGCCTCTGTAAGTTTAATTGGTCATAATAGTATAAAATTATCTTATTTTTAAGATGTTATGTGCATTAACGATACATTATGGGAGATTAGATAACGAGTTGGCAGTTCTCACTATAATAGTTAAAAACCAGATAATGTAAAGGTAATTTGCTGAAAATTTCATTCAAATTGATCCACTATGAACCGAGAACTAAGCGATTGAAATTTCCGCCTAGCCTCGATCATCATTACTAAAGTCAGTACGATAAACAGCATAGTCTCGATTATCCATTTAATCGTTCAATCGTGAAGGAAAGTTATGCAGTAAATCGGGTCATAATCCACTCAAGAACGCAGTCTACCGATGCCATCGAGAGTTGATTATGGTACGGATAAGTTAGCTAATGCCTAATTAATAATGTAGATAACATTTCAGGCCTAAAGATATACCTGCAATAGTAGATTTAGCTCTTAAATAATGTATGTTTAATAAAGAAACTGAGCTTGCCACTTGGAACTAAAGGCATACAATCGTAGCTAAAAACAAACACATCAGTATATCTCAACGTTTTCCGCTACGTTCTCGTAGCTATACGCCTGTTTGCAATGGCGATGTGTCGCGTTGTGTGTGCGTGAGGTAATAGGGACATACGCCGATGTACTCAGTTGACCTAAGGGCAGGCCAACAATATAAGCGCAGTGCAATCAGCAGTAAATTTTGTCTGCGATATCACTTCGGTGGAAGCGGACGTTAAATAAAGCTATTTCACACAGCAGTAAATTATTATAGAAAATTTTACACGATATCAGTCTATCAATGTCCTATCCTTAATTCGTGTGAAGTCTTAGAATAGCTTGTAACGGGAGTGGTTGTTTTGATGCAGATGGCTGGAACAAGGGATTAATAAATTATCAACGTTACATGTAAGTTCTTTGGAGAAGGAAAACATATCACAATTAACATTAGTTGTAAAATGCAGTCGTTTATTGTAATTTAAAGGAGCTAAATCGCAAATATTTTGGACCTAGAAATTGACACAAATGGGTCGCAACGCATTTAATAACGTAATGTGAATGTATATAAACTGATTTACATTCAATCGTTTCTGTGTTTACTATAATTTTTAATCAGTTATGTTCGGCGAAATACGCCAGAAGTTTCAAACGATTTAATTGACAAATAATTCGTGTTTTCAATGTCGGAGACTTTGGATGATATGCAAAAAAAGAGAGAGAGAGAGAAATGGGGTTTAACGTCCACTCGACACAATTGATGATGTGCAGTTAGAGACTTAGATAAGACGTGGAGAGTAACCAGGTGCGTGTCAAGGGTGGAGGGGGGGGGCTTTATTTTACTTCATAAAAAATGTTCTAGAATTTAGTTCGCAGAAGGAAAAAAGTTAATATTGCGAGCTCATACTCACACCGATGTCATCCCTCTCTGATATTAGCGGCCTTGCGATTATTCAATGCTGATCACAATCTGTTTCACGGGTATACCGAAAGCGACTTCTTTATGTATTGTTTAATGGTCGAGAGCGAGACATTAAGTAATACATTGTAACAACATGAGGGCCGTGAGGTCCGAGTGTTTTTACAATATATTACGCAATGTCTTAAGCTCGAGACCATTAAACAACTTAAAATACAGACACTTGCACGTGCTTTGCAATGAAATACGTCACTGGAGTTTTTACCAAGTTACGCTTGACACATTGCCCGTACGATTATTTGAAATAATGGTACTCCAACATCAAAGGATGACGTCATATCTGTATTTTAAACCTCTGTATAAAGTGTCTGGCCTTTAAGAGTTTTAAAAATACATTCTACACGTGACATAAAATCACGCATTGTCAATCATTGGCTCGAGGGCGTGTGTATTGTTTACATAGTTTTAATGATGCCGGTTATTTGTTTTAAATACCCATTTACTCTATAGGAAATATTTTGTATCCAGATATACTTCAAACACCTTTATTTATTTTTTTAATACTTCAAATGTTTCTTTGTAAAATTTAATTTGCAGACGGAAAAAAATTAATGTTGCGAGCTAATTAACCCGCACCGATATCATCCCATACTGCACGCAGCGATTCATCTACGTCAAACTTTGAGAATCAGGCGAAGCTAGCTGTAGACAGGCAGACTAAGTTTGGGGTGATGTCACCCCCTCTCAGTGATTTTAGCGGCCTAGCGTTTGCTGATCAGGGTAGTGTGGGTAAAGATGTAAGATTCACACCGGAAGGGAAATAACTCTCATTACGTTGGTTTCCGAGGAAACACAGCTCAGATTAACCCAATGTATCCATCCATGTTATAAAGTAAAAATTTGTTTGAAAGCAAAACAAGCCAATAATTCACTTGCGACTGCTATTATTTTGCAGATGATGTCACTGGCTCGGTATCGAGGAGCGACGGTCATTGCCAAAAAAATTTCGGGATGTCTTCTTTTTTTCATTTTACCTCCATCCGTATAGAAGTCAGAACAGAGTATAAGACGAATGCCGGACTTATACCCCGAAAAATATGGTAATTTTGAGGATGAGTTTGAACAAAAGTACGGGTCGACACGCTTTCATTCTATCGTATTACGACAACACATAATTTTGTAGGAATATTACCGACATAAAATTGAATACCGTATAAAAATAACGAGGCGCACCTATTTTTTTTTATTACGTACGAATTTGAATATTTTGTTGACACGTGATTTTTTAATTGTGGTAGAAACCGACTGCTTAAATATAAGAGTTATGCTCCTTTATTTTCAGTACTGCGTGTAGGGGTCTTTGCAAGTGGGAGGAAATTAAGTCAAACTGAAGGCCCCGAGAAAATCCACGGGGTTGGACAGACGACCCCACTCCTTGTCAGGTACAAGCGGGGAATTGAAACCACACTACTTGACTCAATGACAGATCTCTCCCCCTCCCCCCTCTCCACCCATCTCCTCCCCCCTCCCTCCCTCTAGATATGGTTAACTTTAAATGAAAAGTAAGTTTTTAAGTCTCCCTCCAACCCTCCCTCTCCCTCCCCCCTCCCCCTCTCTTTCATCTGTAACAGCTGGACTTCTCTTTCAACTGATAGTCCTTGTTATCGTATTATAGGTAATAACAACAAATATTTTATACATGTATAGCCATTATTTTAATAATTAAATGAGAGGGTCTCAATAATTACCAAGCAGTAAATTAACTTTTTACATTTCTTTAAATACATATTCATGAAGCATGGCATAATTTTCCCTGATAATGGAGATTTCTAAAATAATACAGTGTGGCTTTAAGTATATCGAAATGTACATCCAAAAATAAAAGGATATAAAAACTAAAAACTGATTAAATCACAGATCCTATTTCGTTTCGTTTTTTATAGTTCAAAATTTCGTTTTAATTGTCTTCACTACACTAGGATCTGGAAGAGTTATTATATTACCGGCGTTTTGGTTGAAGTGTGGGATAAGCCAATGAAACGGTCTGTTACGGCGACTTCTTGGCGTGCCATGCACGGAACTGTGGGTAAACCACTGGAAACGTCCACGCTGATTGATTAGTCAATGTCTGACATCATAGGGTCAAAAACTGGTCGTACGACCCCTGACACGACTTGTCAGATCTTCATGTAGTGTAGGCTATCGAAAGTATATAAAAAAACAAAACAAAAAAAAAAACAAAAAAAAAACGAAATATAGATCTGTATTTTAATCAGACTGAAAAACTGAGTATTGGAGAACAAAGTTGTTGGTTTCTTTTATTTCAACAGTTTTTATAAACTTTTTATAAGTTTTTAAAAATAAATGGTCTGCCCATTGCCCCTTTTTTATGACAGACCTAGCATTTTTTTTAGTTTCTAAATATTTCTATACCACCAACTGGTCCTTAAATTGTACACATCCGAAAAAAAAAAAGTCCTGGGTCAAGTTCACAAATCATTCTCAGACTTAAAGTAGCTAAGTCTCTAACTCAATATCATCCAAAATCTTCGAAATTGAAAACACAAATTATTTGTCAATTTAAACCAACATTGATGTTGTGATCTTACGGGGAAAAGATGTTCTTCTGATATCCAATAATTAAGACAAAATAAATATTTTACCGTTGGTACACGAATCGTGTACCATGGTGCACCATGGTGCATTTCAGCGCCATTTTTAACAAGAGACTCATAAAAAGAGGCTAGATATATTCCACAAGTCATGTCAAACGGTGACGTCATATTCTTATCTGGAGAGCATGCGCAATAAATACTATCGGTATAGAGTGGAATAACCAGACCCTAGAAATTGCCATTGGATTGAGACTTGTGGCGTATTTCGCCGAACCTAACTGATTAGAAATTACAGTAAAACAGAAACGATTGAATGTAAATCAATTTATATACATTCACATTACATTATTATATACGTTGCGACCCATTTGTGTCAATTTCTAGATCCAAAATATTAGCGATTTAGCTCTTTTAAAAAGTTCTCCTTATTTTAACTAAATTATAGCCCTTCGTGTTTCTGGATCAAAGATATTTCTAATAAACAGTGATTGAAAGTAGAGTAAATTCTTAACTGAAGTCTGAGAATGTTTTGTGAACTCGGTGCCACGGCTCTGCCTATTCATTGTCGATTGACATGACACGTGTCGTGCTTATTCCTTGGAATTTGGTTCATCGATCGACGTGACATTCTTGTTCTTTAAACTATTGTTCATCGATTGATGTGACACGCTTGTTCCTTGGACTATTGTTCATCGATCAATGTGACATGCTTGTTCTTTGATCAACTGTTCATCGATCGACGTGACATGCTTGTTCTTTGTACAACTGTTCATTGATCGACGTCACAAGGCCTAGATGGCTGCGATGACGTCCTACCATGTTCCTGATTAATTGCATTGAGACAAGAAATCTTTCATACTTTGTACTAGGATATGTATATTCAACATAAAAACTTGATGAAATGAAATTGAACATAAAAAGCTGAAAGTCTAATCAACGATTTTCTAAAATGATCCAATGCCCTAAAATAATTTATTTATATTCATATTAACTTAAACATACATTATGCAAGAGATAAATCTGCCTATTTCGGGTCTTTCTTTAGGCCTGAAATGTTATCTAAATTATGAATTAGACATTAACTTATCCAGACCATAACCAACTCTCGATGTCATCGCTAGCCTGCGATATGTACTGGATAAGGACCCGATTTGCTGCTCAACTCTTATTCATGATTTAATCATGAAATGGATAATCGAGACTATGTTTTTTATCGTACCAACTTTAGTAATGATGATGGAGGATAGGCCGAAAATGCAATCGCTAAATTCTCGGTTCAGAGTGGATCAATTTGACTGAAATTTTCATCAAATTATCTTTACATTATCTAATCTTTAACTATTATAGTGAGAACTGCCAGCTCTTTATCTTTATCTGAAGTGGGTTTGCCCATACTATTCTTCTGAAAATGGGCATCTGCCATGCAGTATACTATGAGGGGAATTTTGCCCAGACAGCGGCATTATTACAGTCCACACTTTGTCAAATTCTATCTGTAAATAAAGGGTACTTTAACATGGTCACCAATGTATACAAAGGACCTCAGTTTTTGTCCTCACCCATAGTATATCGGAAATGTAGAGTATGGTCATGCTGTATTCTAACAAGGCACAATCCTTGACTTATAAAAATGGATTTGCTTCCCTTTAACCCTGGGAACTACGATGATAAATTGTTTCAGTGGTATTTAGTACTTGCAACGAGAAATATACAGAGGTCACAATTCTATGAAATATAATTTGTTTATTACTGAGCGACGTTTCGACAAGGATGCTCTTTATCAAGCAATGGTACTGAGCGACGTTTCGAAAAAGATGCTCTTTATCAAGCAATGGTACTGAGCGACGTTTCGACTAGGATGCTCTAGTCGTTATCAAGCAATGGTACTGAGCGACGTTTCCACAAGGATGCTCTAGCCTTTATCAAGCAATGGTACTGAGCGACGTTTCGGCTAGGATGCTCTAGTCTTCAGGCCCGTAGCTAGCTTGGGGGCAAGGGGGGCAGCCCAACCAATGTCACTTGGCTTTATGGGGCACCCATACTGAGTATTGCGTCCAGTGTAAAGGGCATGGTTTGGCGCCATGGGGGTACAGGCCTGGTCTTTATCAAGCAATGGTACTGAGCAACGTTTCGACTAGGATTCTCTAGTACCAAGCGCTCAAGGGTTAAAGCATAATAGATGATGATGATATGAATGATATAGCACCGGTTTCCATGACAACAACCTCTAAATTAAGGCAGTTGCCAATTAATAATACAAAGACAACTCCATCATGATGCCATAAATTAGTAAAATTCTATTATTTTACAACACAAAATAATTCAAAAGTGGCTAAATATACAAAATCAGCCTACTGGGGAATTATTCACTATGCTTAGGCCACAAATAATAAATATTCTGTTTCTCATAAACTCCGCCCACTAAAAAGGACACCATGATACATTTTTAATGCCAAAATAATCTATACTGGATAATCACACATTCCTATAACCACACAAGATAAATGATACTGGATAATCATACATTACTATAAACCGCATGAGATAAATGATACTGGATAATCATACATTACTATAAACCGCATGAGATAAATGATACTGGATAATCACACGTTACTATAAACCGCATGAGATAAATCAATCTGGTTAAAACACAGATCCTATTTCGTTTTGTTTTTATAGTTCAAAATTTCGTTTTACTTGTCTTCACTCCACTTGGATCTGGAAGACTTGTTATTTAACTCATGTTCCGCTTGAAATGAGGGGTCAGCCAATCAAATGGTCTGTCGAATCGAGTGTTTGACCTTTTTTGCCCGGAACTGTGGGTAATCCACTAGTAACATCAATGCTGATTTAATCAAATGTCTGACGTCATAGGGTCATAAGTCGGTCTTTTGACCCCTGACGTGACCTATCGTTATAACTTGTCAGATCTTCATGTAGTGTAGGCCATCGAAAGTATAAAAAAAAAACGAAACGAAATATAGATCTGTATTCTAATCAGATTGGAGATAAATGTGATGTTTAAGAAAAATCATTTGTGTGAGTTGTGATCTGCTCCGACTGGGCTAATGAAGACAGTATACGCCATACAGTCTGCTATAAGGGAAATTTTGCCTGGGCAGCGGCACTATGGCCTACTCTTATATCGAATTCCAACTGCCAAGGGATTTTTTACATGCACCAATGTATACATGGGACCTCAGTTTTTCGTCACATCCGAACAACTAGACAGCTGTCCTTGTCAGGCCCTCCTTCCTGCACCAATGACGAGGGGGGCAATCTCCAGGCTAGCGAGCCAGCATCTTACCCACTCAGCCACCATGACTCTCAAGTTGTGATCCTTAGACAAGATAAAAACACTGTAAACCTGGTATCATTTAATCTTGTGAATCTAGTACTAATTTCTTTCACATTCGTTTAATATCCAATCTTTATTTAAAAATTCGTAAAAACTGTTTAAAATCACCATAAATCGTTTAATTTGTACTTGTGTCCAGTTTAAAGCTGACCATTCAATTTTGATAATGCGTGTCCAAGTGTTTAATTTCTCAATCATTGTTAAAAAATAAACAACTCAATTGATTAATGATGTATAATGATTAATTTTTAAACAGTGGTCAGGAAATTAAATACTTGTAAATTGGACACTCATTATCAAAATTAATCAGTCAGCTTTAAACTGGACACAAGTACAAATTAGATGATTTTTGGTGATTTTAAATAATATTTTACAAATTTTTAAACAAAGATTTGATATTAAAAGAATGTGAAAGAAATTAATGCTAGATACACAAGATTAAATGATACCTGGGTTACAGTGAAACAGAGAGAAAGAAATGGGGTTTAACGTCCACTCGACACAAACTAGGTCATTTCAGGACTAAAATATGGTTCAATTTTATTTCAATAATCGTGCGTAGGGGTCTTTAGCAGTGGGAGGAAACTGGAGAAAACCCACGAGGTCGGACAGGCGACTCTACCCCTTGTCATGTACAACCGGGGAATCGAAACCACGCCAGCTGACTCAATGACAGATCGTATGATACCACACTCATGCATAATCATTCAGCCATCCAACCCCCCCTTTAAAGATAAATTCCTAGCACAGATTTAAGTTTTATGCCAATGAAACGTCTCCATTCATGAAATATTTTAGTTAAATTATATGTGAATAACCCCCAGATATAAATATACATACACATACAACAGAGATCTAATACTCTTAATTTGATCAACTTATTCCAGTCAGATAACTATTTCATGAATACCCGCTTCAGGGCCTAGACAAATGAGGCATACATTACAGGGCCTCTTGACCAAAGACTGGTAAATTGAGGACCTCAATTCATGAACCATACATTATAGGGCCTCTTGAAAAAAGACTGGTAAATTGAGGACCTCCATTCATGAGGTATACATTACAGGGCCCCTTGAAAAAAGACTGGAAAACTGAGGACCTCAATTCATGAGGCATACATAACAGGGCCTCTTGACCAAAGACTGGTAAATTCAGAACCTCAATTCATGAGGCATACATAATGTTACGTTGGCTGTATTGACAAACAATTGTACAGAAATTATACTGATAAACAGATTGCACTAATAAACAATTTGTACTCATAGATAAACAAATTGTACAGATTGATAAATCAAATTGTACTCATTGATAAAACCAATTGTACTGATTGATAAAACCAATTGTACTCACTGCTATAACAAATTGTACTCATTGATAAAACCAATTGTACTCATTGATAAAACCAATTGTACTCATTTATAAAACCAATTGTACTCATTGATAATACCAATTGTACTCATTGATAAAACCAACTGTACTCATTGATAAAACCAATAGAGCATATTGATAAATGAATTGTACAGATTGATAACAAATTGTGCACAATGGTCAACAACTTATTGTACTCATTTATGAACAACCTTTACTCATTTATAAACAGATTGTACTCATTGATAAACCAATTGTACTTAATGATAAACCAATTATAAACAGATTGTACACGTGATAAACCAATTATACTCATTGATAAACAGATTGTACTCATAGATAAACCAATTGTACTCATTGATAAACAATTGTACTTAATGATCAAGCAATTGTACTGATTGATAAAACCAATTGTACTCATTGATAAACCAATTGTATGTATTGATAAACAATTTGTACTCATAGATAAACAGTTTGTACTCATTGATAACAAAAATTGTACTTAATGATCAACAAATTGTACTGATAAACCAAATTTAATAATTTAAAATACTGGCCTTAGAACACCATAAAAGGGCATTATCGTCATGCCGATTCAAAATGAAGGTTCTGAGTTTTGTCAAATGGCTTAAAAAAGCCAAAAACCACAAAGAGGTTAATAATCATAATATATAAAAAGGTCATGTCATAATGTGGTACACAAAATATTTTGATATTTCTAGCAGGGGCAGAAATTAAAATTTCACTTCATCAGAGTATTTTTAAGTTTGGATTTACTTGAAATAGTGAGCAAATGCCATTTCCCCTCCCAAACAAGGTAAGGTATCGCTGTTCTCACACATTCGGACATAATTAAACCACAGGCTCATTGAATTTACTTGAAATAGTGAGCTAACACCGTTCGTTCCCCGCCCCCCCCCCCCCCACACACCAAATAAGGTAAGAGAGGGAGAAATGGGGTTTGACGTCCACTCAACACAAACTAGGTCTTTTCGGGACTAACATATGGTTCAATTTTATTTCAATAATTCGCTTGCACGTAGGGGGTCTTTAGCACTGGGAGGAAACCGGAGGACCCGGAGAAAAATAAAATCAGAGGCCGTCGTTCTAAAATGTTTCTACAGAATAACACAGAGAGATACGTTGATACAATCCATTGATCAAATCAAGTACAACCCATGTCACATATTTTTGATTAAATTGTATATATTTATCAAACATGGCCAGTACCAATACTATCATTTCTGCTTCGTCAACTCTTGTAAACTTTTGAGATAAGCTTCATGAATATTTGACATAAATCCTTCATCATTCTAAAATAAACAAAAGAAAAACATTAATTAGTTACTGAAAATATAAAAGCAAGCCTCGAGAAATAATCAACCATCACAGACATTTCTTGATTGGTCGATAAAAATACTATAATTTGACAGCGTCTTCCCCGTGAACGGAAATGAAATGAGGTTTAATGTCCTACTGTTCTGCTCCTAAACTGGGCTAATGAAGACGGGCATATGCCATACAGTGTGCTATGAGGGAAATTTTGCCCGGGCAGCGGCACTACGGCCTACTCTTATATCGACATTCAACTGCCAAGGGATCTTTTACGTGCACTCCCATGTGTACACAGGACCTCGGTTTTTCGTCCCATCCGAACCCCATGAACGGATCCAGGGGTTAGTGGAGAAGAACGTAACAACACCACTAGGGATACCAAGGATGAGGTCGCACAGAAGAGCCTCGGGATTTTATGCCTACATCTAATTTTATGGCAAGGGTGTGCGTAACTCAGAACACTTAAAATTCCAGAAGATTTTACCAGATTCCATGAGTCCCTGTATAGAATTCTTTACTAATGTCCAAAAGAAAGTATACACTGTGCATTTCTTCCTGCCTCAAATAAAGTCATTTTTCCATTGTATGCGGTATTTGGGTACAATGTCCATTTGTTTTGCCTTTTATTTGCTTAGAAATATTGAGTTTGGACGTGTTCAGTGCAGTTTTATCACATTTTGTTGATTTAAACAAAACTTAGTCATATTTTTAGTGTGTATACTTTCTTTTGGACATTAGTATACATCATAATATATTTTTTTTACGCTTGAAGAACATTGTTTGACTGACACGAAGAAATAAAGAATCTCATCAAAATTAGATTTTAACAGAGTTTATTCATTTTTTACAAGCAAAATGGTATTCATTTGCAGTGTCCAATTGTTCTTTCAAGATTTCAACAATTGTGACAGAGATATTTGTCTACTACTTTTAGTTTATATCTTAAATAGCGAAACCACAAATATTAAATTTCTAGGATTTTCAAGGAGTAATCTTATTTTTCCAGTACTGTAAATCACATTTTCATTTTTCCAGGATTTAAGGAGTTTCAAGGAGTGTGCAAACCTTGTATGGAGATGAAACTAAAGATGTCTATTAAGAGAACATGCAAGCAATAATAATCGCCTTTACTGCCTAAATAAAAGATAGGTTGCCAGGCAACAAAACATAGGCAAACAGCAGCTAAATCGTCCTAGATGTTGACAAGGGTTGTTGAATATTAATTCTTTTGTATGTAATTAGGGGCATTTAATAGACAATTTCATACAGATCACATTATAATTTTCGTCGTTTGAGGTTCACAAGGTTCTAAAAACTAAAACAAGGGCTGTAACACTGGAAGTAATCTACATAAATTGTTGAAATTCGACAGGCTTTTTCGTTTTCCTAATTCAAATATTGCATAAGTTTTGTCATTCAAACGTTCACAAGGTAAAACAAAGGCCATAACTCTAGAAGTAATCGACGGTAATTGCTGACATTCAATAGGCTTCTTCATTTCACTAATCTAAATGATACATATGAATTTCATACAGATTGGGTGATAATTTTTGTCGTTCGCGCCTTCACAAGATTCAACAAAGTGAAACAAGGGCCATAACTCTAGATGTAATTAACGGAAATTTGCTGAAACTCGATAGGCTTGTTCGTTTTACTAATTTAAACGATACATATAAATTTCATACAGATCGGATAATAACTTTTGAGCATTCACAAGGTAAAACAAAGTGAAACAAGGGCCATAACTCATGCCGTAATTGACGGAAATTGCTGAAATTCAACAGGCTTCTTCGTTTCACTAATTCAAAGTAGCTAAGTCTCCAACTCAATATCATCGAAAATCTTCCACGTTGAAAACACCAATTATTTGTCAGTTTAAATCAACATTGATGTTGTGATCTTACCGGGAAAAGATAGGCTTCTGATATCCAATATTTAAGACAAAATAAACATTTTACCATTGGTACATGAATCGTGTACCATAATGCGTTTGAGTGCCATTTTAACAAGGGACAAGAAAGAACAAGACAAGAGATTCCATAAGCCATGTCAAGCGCTGACGCCATATTCTTTTATGGAGAATATGCGTAATAGACTGGAATAACCAGACGCTAGTAATTGATATTCGACTGAGACTTTTGGCGTATTTCGCCGAACATAACTGATTTGAAATTAAGAGTAAAATCGGAAACGATAGAATGTAAATCAGTTCATATACATTCAGATAAAATTATTGTATGTGTTGCGACCCATTTGTGTCAATTTCTACGTCACGAATATTAGCGATTTAGTTCCTTTAAATGATACATATAAATTTCATACAGATCGGTTGATAACTTTTGTCGTTAGAGCGTTCACAAAGTGCAACGAAGTGAAACAAGGGCCTTAACTCCAGAAGAAATTAACGGAAGTCATTGAAATTAAATAGACTTCTTCATCTCACTAATGCAAACAACATATATCAATTTCAAAACAATCAGATGATAAATGTAGTCTGTAGAGTGGTCACAAGAAATTGTGGACGATGGCCGGACAGGGGTGACGGCAATATACGACCACATTTCCATGTGGGCGTATAGAAATGATAGGTTGCCAGGCAACTTTATTAAATAATAATATCCTACTTTTAATAAATAAACAAGTGACGGTAATATACGACCACATTTCCATGTGGGCGTATAGAAATGATAGGTTGCCAGGCAACTTTATTAAATAATAATATCCTACCTTTAATAAATAAACAAGTGACGGTAATATACGACCACATTTCCATGTGGGCGTATAGAAATGATAGGTTGCCAGGCAACTTTATCAAATAATAATATCCTACCTTTAATAAATAAACAAGTGACGGTAATATACGACCACATTTCCATGTGGGCGTATAAAAATGATAGGTTGCCAGGCAACTTTATTAAATAATAATATCCTACTTTTAATAAATAAACAAGTGACGGTAATATACGACCACATTTCCATGTGGGCGTATAAAAATGATAGGTTGCTAGGCAACTTTATTAAATAATAATATCCTACCTTTAATAAATAAACAAAAGCTTGCTGTAATTGTTGTTTTGTAAGAGCAGCTACTGGTAGACTAGATTCTTCTGATTCACAACTTTCTGATAATGATACACCTACAATTATACACAAAATCATAGAATTAAAAAAAATAATCAAACGAAACCGGATTCAAAACATTCTGATAATGATACATCTACAATTATACACAAAATCATGGAATAAAAAATTTAAAACTTCAAAGGAAACGGAAAGAAATGAATTGAAATGTGAAATGAGATTAAACGTCCAACAGGCAACCCTACTCCTTGTCACGTACAACCAGGGAATTGAAACCCCGCCAGTTGACTCAATAACAGATCGTTTGATACAGCGTGCACGTGCTAACCATTCAGCCACTCACCCCCCCCCCCCCACAAGTTATATAATATGAGTACACTTTAGCTTGGAATTAGGTCATTTCGAGACTAACACATGGTTCAATTTTATTTCTATAATTCGCTTGCGCGTAGAGGTCTTTAGCAGTGGGAAGAAACCGGAAGACCTGGAGAAAACCCACAAGGTTGGACAGGCGACCCTACTCCTTGTCACGTACAACCGGGGATTCGAAACCACACCAGTTGACTCAATGACAGACCTTATGATACAGCACGCACATGCTAACAATTCGGCCATCCAACCCCCCCCCCCCCCCAGCTTGGAATTAGCAGTGAAAAAAAAGGGATGGTCAATACAAATGAGGGTTAGCGGCTTTAATCCCTTTTAGAACAAAAAAAGGGTAAGGAGTGCTTTAGTCTACATACATGTACCTTGTATCCCCTTTTAAAGATAACAAGATGAAATTAAGGAGTGTTTTATGCTAGGTTCGCACTGTTATGCGATTGTCCCAATTGATACGATCAACACGATTGCTACGACTGATCTCAATATAGGATAAAACCTAATAGGATAACTACGATTATTCCACGATTAAAACCATGATTTCAATCACAGCACAAATCGTGATAATGGAAACCTAGCACTTGTAACCCCGCCCCCTTTCAATGTATTTACACTTACTGTTAAGATTTAATGAAGCACTAGAAGATGGTAACGTAGGATTGGTTGATTTCGTAAAGGCCATCGGTGACAAGAGGACATCAGGACATGATATAGGATCACTCAAATCTTTTTCACTTTCAACAGACTATAATATAAATAATCAACACACTATAATAATCACACACTATAATATAAATAATCAACACACTATAATAATCAACACACTATAATATAAATAATCAACACACTATAATATAAATAATCAACACATTATAATAATCAACACTCTATAATATGAATAATCAACACACTATAATATAAATAATCAACACTCTATAATATGAATAATCAACACACTATAATAATCAACACTCTATAATATGAATAATCAACACACTATAATATAAATAATCAACACACTATAATATGAATAATCAACACACACTCTATAATATAAATAATGAACACACTATAATATAAATAATCAACACACTATAATATAAATAATCAACACACTATAATATGAATAATCAACACACTATAATATAAATAATCAACACACTATAATATAAATAATCAACACACTATAATATAAATAATCAACACACTATATTTTTTCTTTTATGAATTAATAGGATCACATTGGGATTCAATTTCATTGATCCAAAGCATTAATTGTGATATGTCTATATCATTATCTCGCACTTTGAATGCCCATCCCATCCCACCATCTGATGATAAAGGATAAAGCACAAAATCGTGACACTTTTGTCATAAAAAGTGTTCTGTTACAAAATTTTTTATGTAGCTGAGCAGGCGTGGGGTACCCCCCCCCCTCTCTCTCGATCCTGCCCTTGGTGTACTATTAGAGAAATTTTGCTTAGACAGTGGCGCATTGGCCTACTTGTTTTTGTGTGATACCTGGCTCTCTATCTAGCACCACCTGGCTCTCTATCCAGCACCACTGACAAGGGGGAACCACGCCAGAAAATCCCAATAAACTTTCTCGGCTATCGCAAAGATCGAACACAGGATCTCCTGGTTAGCAAGCCAACCTCTTACTCACTGAGTCACTGTGGCTCCTTGTCACAGAGGAACGAGACTTTTGTCTGTAGAGCTGCATTTCTGCCAAGCCCTCTGTGATTTCAACTGTCATGGGTTCTTTTATGTGTTACACAGGATTTTTTTGTAATAAAAGAGAGAGAAATGGGGTTTAACGTCCACTCGACACCAACTAGGTCATTTCGGGACTAACATATGGTTCAATTTTATTTCAATAATTCACTTGCACGTAGAGGTCTTTAGCAGTAGGAGGAAACTGGAGGACAAGAATAAAACACCTGGTTGGACAAGCGACCCTACTCCTTGTCACGTACAACAGGGGAATTGAAACCATGCCAGTTGACTCAAGGACAGACCTTACAATACAATGCGCATGTGCTAACCATTCGGCCATCCAACCCCTCTTTTTGTAATAAGCAAGATACTTAGTTTTTCTACTTTAAAAATAATTTCTTGCAATAAGAGAGATACTTAGTTTTTCTAAATAAAAATAAATTTCATCTTACTGGCAGCGGCTGGGTAAAACTTGGTAATGGAGGTGGGACAACATCAGTGGGACGTAACAACTCTGTAGAAGTAACATCTGATCTGGGGGATACCGGAACGCTAAACTCCTCGTACCCCTGGGAAGGAGGCCGTTCGCGAGCATCATGTGATGATTGTTGCTGTCGTTCTATTTGCTCTAAGGTAGGTGTTTTCTTGATCAGCTGCATCAGAAGTGGATGTAGATCAGTTTTATCTTCCCTATCACAAGATACAGATCTGTAATATACAGATATTACATTAATACAGGTATTACAATAATACAGGTATAACATTAATACAGGTATTACATTAATACAGGTATTACATTAATACAGGTATAACATTAATACAGGTATTACAATAATACAGGTATTACATTAATACAGGTATTACAATAATACAGGTATAACATTAATACAGGTATTACATTAATACAGGTATTATATTAATACAGGTATAACATTAATACAGGTATTACAATAATACAGGTATTACATTAATACAGGTATTATATTAATACAGGTATTATATTAATACAGGTATTATATTAATACAGGTATTATATTAATACAGGTATAACATTAATACAGGTATTACAATAATACAGGTATTACATTAATACAGGTATAACATTAATACAGGTATTACAATAATACAGGTATTACATTAATACAGGTATTACATTAATACACGCATAACATTAATACAGGTATTACAATAATACAGGTATTACAATAATACAGGTATTACAATAATACAGACATTACAGACAGGTATAACATTAGTACAGATTAATCAATGCCTGACGTCATAAGGTCAAAAGCCACTCGTATGACACATGACACGACCTTCCACTAAAACTTGTCATATCTACATCAAAAGTATAAAAAAACGAATCGAAATATGGGTCTGTATTTAACCAGAATGATTTGTAATAAACAGAAATTTGTTTTGAGCATTTAGTTTGGATTCTCTTCAGTCTTAATTAAATTAAGAATTAGTATTGTGACTTTCTTTGAACAAATCTGACGTTTCAGTTCTAATATTCACTGAAATTCCATTTAAAAACTGGATTTCCGTTTCAAGGGGCTATTTCAGTGTTTTATCATTTGTCGTTGAAAATCAAAACCTATTGTTACATTAGCACTGTAATGCAGAAGGCTTCAGGTAGTTTGGTTTAAAATTTAGCTAAAAAATGAAACTTTCAGTGAAATGCCATTTTAAGATGGATTTCCGTTTCAAGGGACCATTTCAATGATTTGTCATGGAAAATAATAACCGTTTGTACGAGACAGACAGAAATGGGGCTTAACGTCCATTTTAGAACTAACATATGGTTCAATATACCTCTGTAAAGCTGAAGGTTTGGTAACATCTGGTAATTCAGCCCCACCTCTCTGATTTAAACTGGCTTTTTGAAATAACGCTTCTATAGACATGGGGTTTCCTTGAGGAGGTGTCGACGTAATACCAGGGTTAGTGTCTGTGGCAGTGACAGGATGACTGTCGTATTTCACAGGTGTTGGTCTGACTAGAGGCTGATCACGGTTCTGGATACCACTACCTAAATTATCTGTCATTGATTTGGGTTCAGATCTTTTCACAACGGTTGACTTTGACTGAAAATAAAATGAAATATGAGAGAGATAGAGAGAGAGAGAGAGAGAGAGAGAGAGAGAGAGAGGGTTTAACGTCCACTGGACACAAACTGTCATTTTGGGACCAACATGTGGTTCAATTTTATTTCAATAATTCGCTTGCGCGTAGGGGTCTTTAGCAGTGGGAGGAAACCAGAGGACCCAGAGAAAACCCACGATGTTGGACAGGTGACCCTACTCCTTGTCACGTACAATCAGGGAATCGATGCAATGCCCTCACGCTAACCATTCGGCCATCCAACCCCCCCTAAAATGAAATGAAATGATGTAAGATGATATAATGGTGTTTAACCCTTAACCTGTCGACGTCATTTTGACGTCCTGAATGACATCCTGACGTCAAGTGGTCAGGCTAAATAAAGACTGGCGTGAAATATTTTGTATGCCTATTTCAATCGACTACTGTCAAATAATTATAAGTGATAGACTCTTGACACCAATAAAAAAGTTGAAGGGGATAAGTTGATCTATAATTTGCAAATCATTCTAAATCCTTTTCATAAGAAATATCGTCTTCAGAATCGGTGTCAACGATATAATCCGAGTCGTAATAATTCATAGGAATTTCAACCACTTCAAGCGTTTTTAACCTTACCGACATTGTTAAATTACGTTTTTCGTCAAAAAATGTTGAACAAAGACATGTTTTTCTCAATGCACTTGACAACACAAGTTCCTGTCTGTCACACATGCTTGGCCATATCAATTAAATACGAAACTAAATACTCAAATGCGGCTTATAAAAAAGGTTCTTGCTGTGGTCGACTACTTAGCTGTCAACGATATAATCCGAGTCGTAATAATTCATAGGAATTTCAACCACTTCAAGCGTTTTTAACCTTACCGACATTGTTAAATTACGTTTTTCGTCAAAAAATGTTGAACAAAGACATGTTTTTCTCAATGCACTTGACAACACAAGTTCCTGTCTGTCACACATGCTTGGCCATATCAATTAAATACGAAACTAAATACTCAAATGCGGCTTATAAAAAAGGTTCTTGCTGTGGTAGACTACTTAGCTGTATAACGTTTTGGTGATTATTGTCGATAATGACCGGTTAAAGGTTTAAAGTCCTACTGTTCTGAACATAAAAAAATGAGTTAATGATGACAGACTAACACCATGAATGTGCTACGTGGGAAATTGTCCATCTTCTCTTTGTTGAATTCCAACAGACGTTGTTTATGGCCAGGCCCTCCACACAGCACCCCCCCCCCCAAGAAAATGAAACGAAATGGGATTTAACGTCCTACTGTTCTGCTCCTACTGGGCTAATGAAGACAGGCATACTCCATACCGTGTGCTATGAGGGAAATTTTGCCCGAACAGCATCGCTATGGCCTACTCTTACTTCAAATTCCCACTATCAAGGGTTCTTTTATGTGCATGCCGAGTTTTTCGGTCTATTCAAACAACTAGACAGGTGTCCTTGTCAGGCCCTCCATATATCCTGCAACAGTGACAAGGGGAAACATGGGAGGGAGAGAAAAATGGGACTTAATGTCCACACAAACTAGGTTATAATGGGGCTTAATGTCCACACAAACTAGGTTATAATGGGGCTTAATGTCCACACAAACTAGGTTATAATGGGGCTTAATGTCCACACAAACTAGGTTATAATGGGGCTTAATGTCCACACAAACTAGGTTATAATGGGGCTTAATGTCCACACAAACTAGGTTATAATGGGGCTTAATGTCCACACAAACTAGGTTATAATGGGGCTTAATGTCCACACAAACTAGGTTATAATGGGGCTTAATGTCCACACAAACTAGGTTATAATGGGGCTTAATGTCCACACAAACTAGGTTATAATGGGGCTTAATGTCCACACAAACTGGGTTATTTTGGACTAACACACGGTTCAATTTTATTTTCATAAATCGCTTCCGCGTAGGGGTCTTTAGCAGTGGGAGGAAACCGGAGGACCCGGAGAAAACCCACGAGTTTAGACAGGCGACCCTACTCCTTATCATGTACAACCGGAGAATCGAAACCCCGCCAGTTGACTCAATGACAGACCGTACGATACAGCACGCACGTGCTAACCATTTGGCTATCCAACCCCCCTAAATCCCAATGAACTTTTTCAGCCAACGTGTGATAGGTTGTACATGACAAAGTCTGTAACAGGCATAGGTGTACGAGCTGGGGGGGGGGGGGGGGGACCCCCCATTTTGGGCACCAAATGCTGGGAAAATTTGGTCACACAATTGTACTTTGTAAATGTTGTATAAAATAATATTGCGTTCTTGAATGTGTCCAATTTAACAGCGAATTTATTATTATTATGTAACATACTAAGAACCTAACTACATTTTTTGGGCACCAACCACCACCGCCCCCCCCCCCCCCAGTCAAAGATTTCCCCGTACGCCTATGGTAACAGGCGCCTTATGTTCAGGCATTTGGGGTAAACAACAATCTACATGTACACACGTACCTGATCATATTCATGTTGAGCTTTAGTGAGTATTTTCATGATGTCCACTGTGGTCCCAGTCATAGCTAGAGTAGTAGTAGTCGTCAACACTGGACTATGCTGTACATGTTGCCGTGTTTGGACAACGGGTGGCACCACCGTCTCGGAGGGCGGGAATGTCTGAATAGATTGCACTGTTCTGAAAAACACATAATATGATGGCTGCAGTTTTTAAAGATACATTATGTAAAAATTAGATAAAGAGCTGATTATTCTTGCAATAATAGCTCAAAAATAGATAATGTAAAACGGAAATATTGAAAATTTCATTCAAATTACTTTATTCTGAGCCAAGTTATCGAGAAATTAAACACTTGTAAACTGGACACACATTATCAAAACTGAATGGTCAGCTTTTTAAAAACTGGACACAAGTACAAATTAGATGATTTTTTACGATTTTTACAAATTTTTAAACAAAGGTTTGATATTAAACGAATGTGAAAGAAATCAGTGCAAAATACACAAGATTAAATACGCGGGTTACAGCATTACATGTATATGCATACCTTACCCATTTCCTTACTGTTGATTATTAATCTACCTGTTCAGATATTTCAAAACTTACCTATTTTCTTACTGTTGATAATTAATCTACAGGTGATATTTCAAAACTTGCCCATTCATTAATATTGGTTATTAATCTACCTGTTCAGATGATGTTTCAAACCTTACCTATTCATTAATATTGGTTATTAATCTACCTGTTCAGCTAATACTTCAAACCTTACCTATTCATCAATATTGGTTATTAATCTACCTGTTCAGCTAATACTTCAAACCTTACCTATTCATCAATATTGGTTATTAATCTACCTGTTCAGAAGATATTTCAAACCTTACCTATTCATTAACATTGGTTATTAATCTACCTGTTCAGCTAATACTTCAAACTTTACCTATTCATTAATATTGGTTAATCTACCTGTTCAGGTGATATTTCAAAACTTGCCCATTCATTAATATTGGTTATTAATCTACCTGTTCAGGTAATACTTCAAACTTTACCTATTCATCAATATTGGTTATTAATCTACCTGTTAAGATCATATATTAAAACTTACCTATTCATTAATGTTCCTAATCTGGTACACTCATCTTTTTCATAAAACCATATTCCATAAATATCTAAAAATAAATACGAATAAAATAAAGATAGGTTGCCAGGCAACGAAACACACACCCACAGCAGCAGATCATCCAAGCAATCTATAACATAATGTTGCCCTATGGTTCTTTCAAAAGTTACTAAATACATGTACAACACAAGTTTTCTCAAAGTACTTCTTGAAATGAAATGAAATGGGGTTTGATGTCCTACTGTTTTGCTCTGAACTGGGCTAATGAAGATGGGCTTATGCCATACAGTGTGCTATGCAGGAAATTTTGTCCGGACGGTGGCACTACGGCCTACTCTTATATCCAATGTGTACACGGGGCCTTGGTTCTTTGTCTCATCCGAACAACTAGACAGCTGTCCTTGTCAGGCCCTCCGTCCTGCATCACTGACAAGGGAGAACCACGCCGGAAAATCTGGATGAACTTTCTCAGCCAATGCAGGGATCGAACATACGACCTCAAGGCTAGCGAGCCAGCGTCTTACCCACTTAGCCACCGTGATCCCCCAAAGCACTTCTTACACTGATTGTTTCAATTCTGTGAGCGGCATTTAGACATTGAAAGAGATACGCCATTGTTGAAAATTGTGACAAAGTGCCTCATAAAGTTGGTATAAGTCTACTTGATCATTAAAAAGAGAGAAATGGTGTTTACCGTCCACTCGACACAAACTAGGTCATTTCGGGACTAACATATGGTTTAATTTTATTTCAAAAATTCGCTTGTGCGTAGGGGTCTTTAGCAGTGGGTGGAAATCGGAGGACACAGAGAAAACCCACGAAGTTGGACAGGCGACCCTACTCCTTGTCACGTACAACCGGGCAAGCGAAATCACGCCAGTTGACTCAATAACAGGCCTTATAAAACAACGCGCGTGCAAACCCTTCGGTTATTCACCCCTCACCCACAATTTAGACATTGACATCAGTATCAAACACAATATAACCTAATATGGAACACAATTGCCCTTTCCATTAAAGCGAAGTTTTATTAATGAAATGAAATGAAATGAAATGGGGTTTAACGTCCTACTGTTTTGCTCCGAACTGGGCCAATGAAGACGAGGTTTTATTAAAGATACATTATGTTTGATTTAGATAAAGAACTAGCCATTCTTGCTATAATAGTTCGTAAATAGATAATGTAAAACCAATAATTTGAAAATTTCATTCAATTTACTCTATTGCGAGCGAAGATATTAGCCTTTGAAGGTTTGACAAGACGTGTGCAATAATTTCAACCACCGTACTGGTTGTTCGAAGCTAAGCCTCGCTCCTCCATTTTTAGCTTAAATCAAAATATGGCTGAACTGTTCTAATCTATTTAATATCGGAGAAATCCAATGCTATCGAGAGATGATTATGGCCTGGATTGGATAAGTTAATTAATGTCTAATTAATAATTAAGATAACATTTCAGGCCTAAAGAAAGACCTGCAACAGGCAGATTTAGCTCTTGCATAATGTATGTTTAAGTTATCAAGCAAAAAAGATATTTTTTATATGAAATATTTACACGCCCATAAATAGTGTACCTGCCATGAACAATACCAGACATAAAAGAGAGTGAGAGAGAAATGGGGTTTAACGTCCACTCGACACAAACTAGGTCATTTCGGGACTAACCTATGATTTAATTTTATTTCAATAATTCACTTGCGCTTAGGGGTCTTTAGCAGTGGGAGGAAAGGCTTTGGACACGATATGTTTGTGTATAAGTTAATTTACAATTGTACCTAGGCTTTGAACATGATACACACTTAATTCTACAGAACTGAAACCAGTGGTGACCACATTATCAGAACATCACAACAAGTTCATTTACGATTATTTGTCCAGTTAATTTATAATTGTACATGTACTTAAAGACATTACACATGCACTTAATTCTAACGAACCTAAAACATTTCTGACCAGATTATTGCAACAATAAGTTAATTTATAACTGTACATAAAACATCAAAAGGCTTTGAACAGGATATGCACTTAACACCACAGAATCAAAACAATTTGTGTCCAAATTATCACAACAATAAGTTAATTCACAATTCTGGTTTGTATCCAAGACTTTAAAAAGCTTTTAACAGGATATTCAAATTTGTGTCCAGATTATCACAACAATAAGTTTTCGTTAGTTTACAACTGTATAGTAGACATCACATGACTCTGAACAGGATATATTTGTACACAAAACAACACTCAGCTTTAAACAGGATATGGGCTCAGACTAGTAATTATTTCCCCTTATTTCATGATGGACCATTGTAGTGTGATAATCTGTAGACAATTTTTTCCTTAATTTTTTTCTCCCCTCTTCCTGCATTTTTTGGTTGACTTTTTGGTCTAGAATTGGAGAAAAGGGAACAAATTTGCAATTTCATAGCAGTTTTGGGTAATACTGATGATATTAGAGCGGAGGGATAATGGATATGGGGTGTAAAGTGTCTTTCTGTAGAGCAAGTGAGATTTTCACCCCAGTCAACTTCAAATCCCTGTGGCAAAAAAACTAAACGTTCAACCCCCTACAAAATTATGATGAGGAGATTGCCAAATGTGGTCCCCATTGTGCCTATAAAGATTGGAACCAACGGAATGTTGAGCAAAAAGCTACAGCCTGTGATGTTACAGCCATTTAACATTGAAGTCAATGGGCAAATAATTGCTAGTCTGAGTCCATATACAGATGATTGTTAAGTAGAGTTATCTCCTGTTGACAAAGACTCAATATGACATCAGACAAGAGATCGAAGCGAGTGATTAGTGTTTAATGATAAGGCCAGCACAATTTTTCGTCACAAGATGTAAACCGGGCTAGTACTAATCCCAACCCTAACCCTAACCCTGGACCTAGCTCCAATGCTTACCCTAACCCTAACTAACCTACAATCTCGCCAACTATCATGTGCCCTAACCTTATTTACATCTCAGCAACCTTGGCAAAAATTGAGCTGGCCTTAACAAATAGATTTAGCCGATCTGAGTACCTTACACATGTATAACATTACCTGTACTTGGCAGTTTATTAATATAACTAATGTTACCTCCACCACTGAGAAAACTACCGAGAAATCAAATAGTAGTCCAACATATTCTATAACATACCTAATATATACAGTTGTCTAATAATATTATCACATGGGACAGAAGTAGGAGTCATTATTGGGGGGGAGGGGGGAAACCTGGGGTATACGGAGAAAACCCACAAGGTTGGACAGTCGACCCTTCTTGTAATATACAGGCAGGGAATCGAAACCATGCCGCTTGACTCAATGACAGACTTTGCGATCTATCGTCAACACGTTAAACCATTTAGCCACCCGAACCCCCGTCCATTTCTGAATTTTTATTGGCACAAAAATTAAAATGTCAATAACTACGCGCAGTTCCAGTTCATTAGTGCTTGACCTCTTGTCAGGTTCAACTGTATAGTACTATCGGACTGGGTTGGATGGCCGAATGGTTAGCACGCGCGCGCTGTATCGTACGGTCTGTCATTGAGTCAACTGGGGGGTTTCGATTCAACGGTTGTACGTGACAAGGAGTAGGGTCGCCTGTCCAACCTCGTGGGTTTTCTTCTCCGGGTCCTTCGGTTTCCTCCCACTGCTAAAGACCCCTACGCCCAAGCGAATGATTGAAATAAAATCAAACCATGTGTTAGTCCCGAAATGACCTAGTTTGTGCCGAGTGGACGTCCCTCCCTCCCTCTCTCTCCCTCTCTCTCTGACTTTTCTTGCTGTGTTTATTTTCATCGTGATCGTAATATATAACACAACAGGTTAAATGGTTCCTACAACTTTATTGTTAAGCTAGTATGGCTTCAAAGGTTCCTCGTTCTCAATAATAATAGCTGCTTGGAATGCTTGGGTGAGCTCTGACCAAACTCGCTCAACACCCTCCTTTATAACCCCCTAATTTCTGCACGTCTTAGATTGACCTTGACGTTAATTCCCATCCTAAATATGGAATAAACCTCCCCATTTCCCAAGACCAGGGGGGGGAGAACATTACCTTATTTGGTCTACCAATACTATAACAGACAGAATTTGATGGATATTTTGACAATGGTTAGGATTTTACCAAAATATCACTGTTTTTTATATAGCATTCACGTTCATTAAGTATGTGTGATTCGACTCGATAGAAAGAGTGAAGCAACAATTTTTCAAAGACCCAATATTGTCTTAAAGCGAGAATTTCATATTTTCTAAGAAAGTCAAAACATAATTTTTTCTATGTCTTTTGCTCAATAGGTTATCAACTCACTATTATACGATTATAGGCATTATTTCCCACACTTAAAAATCATTGACACAGGAAATAATAACACAATTACCTCCCTTGTTTTCCTATTCCCCCCATGGAATAGCTATCTTCAAACATTTGAAGTTGAAACTGATATTTTGCCAATACTGAATTATAGGATTAATAGGATTATTCTTTAACAAGGTAGGACTGTGTATAGATACCATCTATTTTAAGGCTTTATTTTAATAAATTCTAAAAATATAACTTAAAATATGAAATTGCAACTTTAAGGACCAAAGTGCTACACAACTAGGTCTGTAATACTGGGATCCAAATACTGCGTATTGACCCACATCTTCTCTTACAATAAACCATTACAGAAAACTATAATTCTATTTTTTAAAACTATTACGGAGGTAAAATGTTTGTCACTGTGCCCAAGCTACTTTTTGTGAAGAGTGTTGGGTTTATTACTGTTTAGTTTCTGGAGCAGTGGTGAGTAATTAATTAGTCTGTTTATTACTCAATACCATCCAAAATCTTCAACATTGAAAACACGATTTATTTGTCAAATTAAATCAACATTCATGTTGTGATCTTACCGGAAAAGGATGGACTTTTGATATCCAATATTTAAGACAAAATAAACATTTTACCATTGGTACACAAATCGTGTACCATAATGCGCTTCAGCCCCAGTTGTATCAAGAGACTCGAGGGACGAGGCTAGACACATTGCACCAAATCAAACGGCGTATGTAGACTGGAATAACCAGACGCTAGAAATTTGCACTCGCTTGAGACTGCTGGCTTATTTCGCCAAACATAACTGATTTGAAATTGGAGTAAAAACGGAAACCATTGAATGTAAATCAGTTTATATACATTCATATTACAGTATTATATGCGTTGCGACCCACTTTTGTCAATTTCTAGGTCCCAAATGTTAGCGATTTAGCTCCTTTAAGTAATTAATTAGCCTGTTAATTACTCAACGCCTTTTGACACCTATGATCGTATAATAGTGAGTTGACAACCTATTGAGCAAAAGACATAGAAATAATTATGTTTTGACTTTCTTAGAAAATATGAAAACAAGGGAGGTAATTGTGTTATTATTTCCGGTGTAGAAAATGACTTTTAAGTGTGAGAATGACACCTATGATCGTATAATAGTGAGTTGACAACCTATTGAGCAAAAGACATAGAAATAATTATGTTTTGACTTTCTTAGAAAATATGAATTTCTCGCTTTAAACTACCGGTACCTGACAGTATATAACCAAGAATTTGACATTATGCTTGGACGACATATTTTCATGGAATAAGTATACTGATGTCCAAAAGAAAGTATACACACTAAAAGTATAACTAAGTTTTGTTTAGATTAAAAACATTTGATAAAGCATTACTGAGTTTGTCTCTTGCATCCAAACTCAACATTTCTAAGCAAAATAAAAATGTGAAACAAATTGACATTCTACCCAAATACCGTCTACCATGGAAAAACGACTTTGGTTGATGCAGCACAAAATGCACAGTGTATACTTTCTTTTGGACATTAGTATATATTCATAAATAAATAGTTCTTATCATTTTATTATACATTGTAAATGGAGACCAGTAATACCTATAGTCAGACACTAATCTACAAGCCTGTTGCAATATAATTATCTGTATTCATTGTTTTAAAATCTTTTAGAAACAGAAGTTTTATTGCATAGTTGTTTTAAGGATTTAGTATTTAATTAAGCTCCTTCTACACCCTTACGTATTGTCTTATAATTAACATATTTTCATTTAGTATAAGTCATTTTGTTTATCTTAAAAAACTATTGGAGATTAGTGTCGTAACAACCAAATCATATATATATTAGATTAAAGTTTCATATAAATACATATATTATTTTATCAAAAAAAGAATGCACATCATCTTGTTCATTCCTTTTTAGCTGTAAATTGATTTTAATGTTGTTGCTGGTCAATAAATCCATATCATACAGTTGTTCCTGATTTTATGGAAGTAACCTACTAGCTTTAACACTGTTAGATTATTTGTCAATTTAAATCAACATTGATGCTGTGATCTTACCGGAAAAAGATGGGCTTCTGATATCCAATATTTAAGACAAAATAAACATTTTACCATTGGTACACGAATTGTATACCATAATGCGTTTCAGCCCCAGTTCTAGCAACGCCTCATGTAGACTGGAATAACTAGAAATTTGCATTCGATTGAGACTGCGGGCTTATTTCGCGGAACATAACTGATTTGAAATTAGAGTAAAAACGGAAACCATTGAATGTATATCAGTTTATGTACATTCATATTACAGTATTATATGAGTTGCGACCCACTTGTGTCAATTTCTAGGTCCCAAATGTTAGCGATTTAGCTCCTTTAAATACAGAAACTCCTGCTTAAACAACACAACTCAATGATACCCAAAGTTGTTGTGTAACTACATGTATATAGAAACTGGGCTAATGAAGACGGGCATACACCATACAGTGTGCTATGAGGGAAATTTTGCCCGGGCAGCAGCGTTACAGCCTATTTTTATATCAAATTCCAACAGGTTCTTTTACGTGCACGTCAATGTGTACACGGGACCTCGGTTTTTCTGCTCATCCTAACGACTAAAGATTAACCACTGACAAGGGGGAACCATGGTAGGAAATCCCAATGAATTTTCTTGGTCAACACAGGGATCGAACAACGGACCTCCACCGTGGCGAGAGAGAGAAAGAAATGAGGTTTAACGTCCACTCGACACAAACTAGGTCATTTCGGGACTAACACATGGTTCAATTTTATTTCAATAATTCGCATGCGCGTAGGGGTCTTTAGCAGTGGGAGGAAACCGGAGGACCCGGAGAAAACCCTACTCCTTGTCACGTACAACCGGGGAATCGAAACCCCGCCCGTTGTGACAGACCGTATGATACAGCACGCGAGTGCTAACCATTCGGCCACCCACCCCTGCCTCCACAGTGGCTCCAAAGTATATACATGTATGTATTAAGAGTATTGTTTTATAGCACCTGACTGTGTGATAGTGTGTTAATGAAACATATGGATATACCCCGAGTGTTGATCCCCTCTCACTCTCTCGCTAGCTACATGTACAACTTACTGGCATACTTCACTATGTGATGGTGTGTAAAAATGAAACATATGATTTCCCCCTGAGTGCTCTCTCTCTCTCTCTCTCTCTCTCTCTCCAACTTACTGGCATGCTTCACTGTGTGATGGTGTGTTAATATATCCTGAATGTTGAACCTTTTTCTCTAGCTAGTTACAACTTACTAGCATGCTTCACGCGTGTAAATAGAAAGGTTATCAAATACTAGCTACTCACTTTTGGCATTTCTGTAGAGCAGGAACGGTTCTTGAACTTGGAATTCTAACGTCTTGGTAAACGGTTCAATCAAATTCTGTAATCCTAATCTGTTTAAAATCATAAAACCAAATAACGGTGCAGCAGATCTGAAAATACAAAAATTGGTAAAATTATAAACTCATCGGTTAAATTCTTTTTACATAAAATATACACAAATATTATACACAAATATTAACATATAAACACATTATTTTATATAAGCAATCAATATTGCACACAGAGAGAGAGAGATGAGGTTTAATGTCCACTCGACACAACCTAGGTCATTTCAGGATTAACATATGGTTTAATTTTTTTATTTCAATAATTTGCTTGTGCGTAGGGGTCTTTAGCAGTGGGAGAAAACCGAGGAGACCCTACTCCTTGTCACGTACAACCAGGGATTCGAAACCACGCCGGTTGACTCAATGACAGGCCTTATGATACAGCACGTACGTGCTAACCATTCAGCCATCCAACCCCCACCCTATATAAGACTACAAGCTATATGGTGTGTCTTACACATATAATAATATCAGTACATTTACAACACATCATAAAATATAACAAATAACTAATCCTTGTACATGCCACCCAAAAAATAAATGAGAATTCCAGCACTAATACATACATGAAATGTAGTTTTTATATCCTTGAAAGGATGTTATTTTCACTGGGGGAAAAAGCAGTATAACTTTTATTTCTGATGTTTATGCGTAATGGTTGTAATCTAAAGGTCCAGTGACTAATTTTTATTAACTTTAAGACTAACAAAAAAAAATGTTGTCATAAAAACTGAAAGGGGGTGGGGGCTCGGCAAACTTAAACTTCATACATCATGTACAGGAATGACATATGGATGGGTAGTGTGTTAGGCAAATGATGTCTGGTCAGTTACGTTACAGGTTCTTTAAAGAGAGAGAGAGAAATAGGGTTTAACATCCACTTGACACAAAACATTTTATTTCATTACTTCGATTGCGCATAGGGGTCTTTAGCAGTGGTAGGAAACCGGAGAACCGGTGAAAACCCATAAGGTTTGACAGGTGACCCTACCCCTGGTCACATACCACCGGGGATTCGAAACCACGCCAGTTGACTCAATGACAGACTTTATGATACAGCGCGCACATGCTAACAAGGAGTAACCAGGTTACCAAATCGCGACAACCTGTGGCCTTGCAAGAATACACACCAATGTACTTTAACTTTAAAGCATCAATTAACACAGAACTACGAATAACCTAACCAACTTAAAAACACGCAAAATATAACACATTATATAGTCAAACATAAATCACGAGGAGCAGAATCCAACCATGTGCCAAATAATAGGTAGAGAATTGTGATGCTAGAAGCCTATTATCACGGACTAAAAGCAGCAAACCTCTTGCACTGATGATAACCTTGTTGTTATTGTAAATAGATCCGTTTGTACGTTCTTCCATAAAACACCCCGTTACATCACATGTTAGTATTAAAGTATTTATTTACGTTTATCTACTATTAACTTTATAAAACACATGTGTTATTGTAAACGTGTTTTTTAGGCCATTCAGCTTTTAAGTGAAATTATATTGTATCGGATTATAATTATAGAAAACAAGATCGTGTCAGAACGGTAGTCTTGATTATTCTATCGCACAATGAAAATAGTCTCGGCAAAATATGTGAAATTATAATGGATTGTTCAAGCAGCAGCATGTAGGGAGAAGGGCAGAAAGGGTAAAGCCACCGGATTCTTGATTAATCCATGCTATATGGTATGGATAACCTGTTAAGATATCCAGGCCCTGAGTTTACAAAGCCAGAGAGAGAGAGAGAGAGAGAGAGAGAGAGAGAGAGAGAGAGAGAGAGAGAGAGATCTGGGGTTTAAGTCCACTCAACACAAAACTAGGTCATTTCGGGACTAACATATGGTTCCCTACTCCTTGTCACGTACAACAGGGGAATCAAAACCACGCCAGTTGACTTGATGAATCACCTTATGATACAACACGCACGCGCTAACCATTCAGCCATCCACCCCCCCCTAAAAAAACTGGACAAATAAGTGAAATTATATTAGATCCACAGGCGCTTGTGATTGGATTGGATCCTAATTACAGAAAACAAGATCATGCCAGGGAGGTAGTCTTGATTATTCCAGATCGGTGCCGGATTTACCTACAGAATTGGAATTGGCAGGCTGAAGACTAGGGCTTCAAGATCCACGGAGCCTCCAGTCTATGTGTATAATATTTTATACACTGTCACCAGCCTTTCTAACACACTGTATTCTTAAACATTCCTCATCATCCTTAACTTTGCTCAATTATGTTTAAAAAAACGCATTCATCTTGCACTAGTCATGAGGGTAGGGGATTGGGGTGGGTCTCATAGTCATGAGGGTAGGGGATTAGGGCGGGTCTCATAGTCATGAGGGTAGGGGATTGGGGCGGGTCTCATACCTGTAAGTGAAATAAGTTAGGGCCTCTCTTCATCGGGAGCCACATTGGGAGCCACATTAAGTATTCAATCTCTTCATCGGCCAAGAAAGTTCATCAGGATTTTCCAACAGGGTTTTCCCTTGTCACTGATGCAGGACGGAGGTTCTGACAAGAACAGCTGTCTAGTCATTCGGATGAGACAAAAAAACAAAGTCCTGTGTATACATTGGCGTTCATGTAAAAGATCCCTTGGCAAATGGAATTTTATATATATAAGAGTAGGCCATAGTGCCACTGCCCGGGCAAAATTTCCCTCATAACACACTATATGGTGTATTCCCGTCTTCATTAGCCCAGTCGGAGCAGAACAGTAGGACATTAAACCCCATTTTATTTCCTCTCTCTTCACCTAAATCCAACACTGATCCAGATACTGTCACAGTTTGAACAACCTAAGAAATAACATACATGTATTCCAAGTTCAAGTAAAGAATATTCAGCAAAACATGGTGCAATCTGAAAACTTCCCATGATAGGACGACATCTTAAAGGACCCTCGCTTCATCTCATACATCATTATCATTCTGTATAATTACTGATTTCAACAAGCAAAACTATTTATAGTATCAAGTGTGACGTTTCTGGGGTAAAAAAAACTCAATGTCAACAGTTACTAGTTTTTCTATATTCTAGAACAAAATCTGTCATCACAACCTTGAGGAAACTTGAAGTGATTAGCTAACCGCTTAGTAGAATCAGCAGTACAGATAACAACAAAAAATATACTCTTCCAAAAAAGTAGGGGATATTCAGAAACAATACAAAACTGTGGAAATGCACTGCTGTTTTTATTAGAGGTAACCAGTGTATGTTAATAACAGGCCAATTGCCTACAGATGAACATAAACAGTTCATATGGGCGGCTTATCTGACGGCCCCATTTCACTCACAAAGAGATACACTGTCAAAAGTGAGTAATTGCTCCACCAATCCTCAGACATTCAGCAATTCGTCGTGGCATGCTCCTAATCAACCGTCCAGTCACGATTTGGGGCAATCTGACCCACACCTCTTGCAGTGCCACGGCTAATTCTTGCAGTGTTGTCGGTTGATGTCGACAATCAAATTAAACGTAACACACTAAAGCAAAGATACGCTGAACAGTAAATTTTATGCAAGAACCGATAGGAAAGCAAACATGGATAAACCGGCACGCAGCAGTTTTCATCAACCCTTCCCACGTGTATGGCGCTATTGCGTGTTGCATGTGCAGCTCAGTGGTTCTGTTGGGGCGATAAGTTCTTCATCTGTGAACATACTCTCAAAGCATGTCAAGTGTCCATGATTATTTATCATATCATATCAGACATTTAATAATATATATATATAAAAACACGATTATATTTTCATCACTGAGCGATGTAAAATGAAATGAGATTGGGTTTAACATCCTACTTTTCTGCTCCAACTGGGCTCATCAAGATGGGCTACAGTGTGCTATGTCAAATCTTACCATCTTAGAAATGTTATGTTAAATCTCTAAGAGTAATGATGAATTGACCTATGTTTAAAATAAACCCTCCAAATAGATAATCTCCTAACAGAGAAAGAAAGACAGAGGGAGAGATAGAGAGGGTTCAATTTTATTTCAATAATTCGCTTACGTGTTGGGGTCTTTAGCAGTGGGAGGACCCGGAGAAAACCCACGTGGTTGGACAGGCGACCCTACTCCTTGTCACGTACACACGAGGATAAATAAAAAGTTTGATTACATATTGGTCTTTAAACCGTTTTATCAAATCTCACAAAAATAAAGGTAAACATTTCCCTAAAATACAATGAATAAATTCATTAGGGGTTAACTGTACATTGATGAAAACAATTGATAACAAATCTTACGGTCAAATATCCTTCTTTAAATAAATGCGAATATTCATATTCATACCTCTTAAATATTTCTCTAAAGTAAAACATACAAAATTATTTAGGTTAAAGATACATTATGGGAGATAAGATAAAGAGATGCCAGTTCTCGATATAATAGTTAAAAACTAGATAGTGTAAAGGTAATTTGCGGAAAATTTCAGTCAAATTGATCCACTATGAACCGAGAACGAAGCGGGTGAAATTTTCGCATAGTCTCGGTCATCATTACTAAAATCATTAATATAAACAGCATAGTCTCGATTATCCATTGTTTTGATTTAATTATCAATGGCCGTTAAGTGGCATATAGGAATCTAATCCAGCAAACATCTAAGGCTAGCCTTGACATCGAGAGTTTATTATGGTCTGGATAAGTTAATTAATGTCTAATTGATAATTTAGATAACATTTCAGGCCTAAAGAAAGACCTGCAGTAGACAGATTTAGCTCTTGCATAATGTATGTTTAACTCAATGATGACCATGAAAAAGGTTGATTATAAATTGGAGGGTCTAGAACACAAGTGATCTAACTAGCAAACATTTTAGTTGGTTGTTAGATCACTTGTGCTCTAGACCCTCCAATTTGTCTTGCATCAAATCTCTCCAAAAAATAAGGGGTTGCATGGACGAATGGTTAGCATGTGCGCGCTGTATCATAAGGTCCGTCACTGAGTCAACTGGCGTGGTTTCGAATCCCTGGCTGTATGTGACAAGGAGTAGGGTCGCCTGTCCAACCTCGTGGGTTTTCTC